AAAAAAAAAAAAAAACAACTGCGTCAATCCCTCGCCCCCCAAATCCTCCTCCTCCTCCCTACAACCTGCCCGCAACAACCCACCCCCATCTTCCTCCTCCGCCTTCCAGCTCTCCCCTCCACCGCTCGCTCTCCCCTCTGCAGTCAGTGCACACACCCGCGCCCACGACACGGACCACCCTCCCCACCCCCTTGCCCCGGCACCCGTTTGTCCTCTGGGAGGGGTTGCTGGTCTGGATGGCATTGTTCGGGTACACGTCCCTTTTTCCCTGGCCATCTTATCTGCCATCGAAAAGCGATTGGGGTCGTTTTCTGCCAACCCCACCGCCTCTGCCGAAGAGTTCCGTTAGGGTGACAGCAAAGGTTGTAAATTATAATAAACAGGGAGATAACCCCAGGCCCAAGTGAAAACCCGCCTGTTTTTCTAAACTGCCTGACCGAGGCTGTGACTGTCCACACCCGCCTCAGTCGGGACAATCCTGCCGGGACAAACGTTCTCGCTACCCATGTCATTACCCAGTCCGCCCCTGATATCCACAGACAGCCGAAGAAGGTGGAGGAGGGCCCTCAGACCCCGGTCTGTGACCTGGGAAGCAAGGCCTTTAAGGCTTTGAATGCCCGCGAGGAAGATGCAGAAGCTGCTACACAGCAGAGCCTCCAGGAGGCCGCTCAACGGCGAGCCCATGCCCTGGTCGCAGCCCTGCGGCCGAGGCAACAGGGCACGAGGGTCTCTCGGCGTCTGGAAATGGGCAACCAAGCTCCGCCGGGAGCCTGTTTCAAGCCTCCTCCCAGGAGGGCCACTGGGCCCAGCGGTGCCCCAACCCGCGTCCGCTGAGTAAGCCACGTCCTATCTGCAAGCAAATGGGTCATTGGAAGTAGCCTTGCCCTTGGCCTGGCCAAACCCCGGTGCCTCCCCACGGGGCCATGGCTGAGCCGCCTGCTCCACTCCACCAGCTGCTCGGACTGGCGGAAAGCGGGGGATGCCCGGACTTGAGGACCCCGATTACCCTCGCGGAGCCCCGCGTCTTGCTCCAGGTAGCAGGTAAGTCAGTCTCGTTCCCCGTGGACACGGGGGCTACCTATGCGGTTCTGCCTTCCTTTTCGGGGCCTCTATCTCCTTCCCAGGTCTCGGTCGTTGGTATCGACGGCCAGCCTCCTGTCCCCCTTCAAACCTCGCCTCTACCTTGTTCTCTCAGTGATTACATGTTTAGCCCCTCCTTCCTGATTGCCCTGTCCTGCCCCGTCCGGTTGCTTGGCAGGAATATGCCCTCAAAACTAGGGGCCACTTTAACGCTGCGGGTTCCATCGGCGGCCCCGCTCCTGGCCACTATTGCTCTCGTCTCTGCCTCTCCCAATTCAGACCTGCCGCCTCACCTAGTCAACCCCAATGTGTAAAACATGTCCACCCCAGTCACAGCCCAGCAGCACACCCCGGTTGGCATAGTTTTAAAATACCCCTCTCACTTCCCTGCTAAACCCCAGTTCCCCATTTCAGCCACACACCGTAAGAGCCTTAAACCCATCATTACTCGCTTGCTCTCTCAGGGCCTCCTCATACCTGTTAACTCTCCATGTAACACCCCCATCCTTCTGATTCCTGAGCCCTCTGGAGACTACCGCTTGATCCAGGACCTCTGTCTCATTAATAAGGTGGTGGTCCCTCTCCACCCAGTAGTCCCTAACCCCTACACTCTTCTATCTCGGATACCGCCTCAGACAACACATTTCACTGTCATTGACCACAAGGACGCTTTCTTTACTATCCCCCTACACCCAGACTCCAGCTCTGGAAGCATCCTCAGACTCCCTGGCATTCCTACAGCGACAAATAACCTCGCTAGCCAGGGTTACTTTATAGAACTGCAGAGCCCTTAATCTCCTCACAGCCAGTCAGGGTGAAACCTGCATGTTTCTCCAGAAAAAATGCTGTTTCTACATTAACAAAACCGGACTGGTAAAGAAAAAAATGTAAACGTCCTCCAAAAGCTGGAAGACAAACTTCGCCAAAAAAAACACCTCTGAGTCGCCCTTCTCTGCCTGGTGGAATTCGGGCATCGCCCAATGGGTCATGCCATTCTTGGGACCTGTTCTACTTATCTGTCTTTTACTTATGGTTGCACCCTGTTTAATTTTTTTGCAGTCTCGCATGAAAAAAATTTCTCACGTCGCAGTCAATCAGCTACTCCTGCACGCCTATCTGTATGCCCCACTTCCCTCCAAGCCACCCCATCCTGGCCTCCCTTAAACTATGCCCCCCTTCAGCCTGAAGCAGCCAAATCAAGTCAGTGCCCCTTATACCAAAGAGGTTGGGATGTTAGGTTCGGAGGGAAGCAGCACCCACCTACCCCCATCTGCCCCCATCTTTTTAAATTAAATACAAAATTTAAACTAAATTTACTTTTTAAATTAAATACAGATTAATGTCCCTGTCAATCTGATTCTTCTCTGCCTTTGACCTGAGAATGAGACCTTGATGTATTCCAGGAATGAGAAGAAGCTCAACATTGGTTGGGTCAGGGGGCATGGAAAGAAAATGAGTCCAGAGAAAAAAGATCCTAGTTAAGGAATCGGGACCCGATCCTAAGGCTTCTAGGTGTTAAGCAAGATTTGATCATGACATTTGTGTTTCTCACTCTGGAATCTGAGTCTCGCCTTTCAATGCAGCCATGCTGTGCAATGACAGGTTTGTATAGGAAGCGTCTTGGAAGCCAAACCCAAACTATTCTTTCTAATCCAGGAACCAGTTTCAGTCTTCAGAGCTGAGCATGAGTTTGTCCAAGAACTGTTGCTTATTTTTGTATAGGAGTGTCAAAGGATAGAATCATTCTAGATCTGATACCTCGGATAGTTAAATGATAAATATCTATAAGATGAATTAGGCCTTACGTGTTTTCAATGTTTTGGATGAATTTTTACTCCAGGAGGAAAATGTCTATAAGCATTGAGACAAGCACTTTAAGTTAACACACAAACAGGTACGTAGAAAAATCCTAATAATAAAAGAGAAATCTATCTACCCACTTACCTATCTGTCCATCCATCCATCCCTGGAAAAAATACCAGGAAGAAACAAACCTTGATGTTTCATATTTGGGATTTACCATATGTGGGCATAGCTTTTGTTAATGCTTTTACCAATTTCTTATGAAATTTCAGTGAGCATGTACATCTTTAAGAATCATATAGCATATTAAGGATTGTTTTTACCCTATCCAAAGATACACAAACACTCATTTTTAAGAACAGAAGTTTATTTCATACCATCGAAACTTCAAAATTATCACTGGCCTTCACCTGAGCAGTCTTTTTGAGTTATACATAATTTAAAAAGAGGTAGGGAGTAAAAAAACAAAACAAAGAACAGAATGTAAGGTTATCAGTTAACACTAGATGGTCCTTATTGGATACTATTCAAAAACTTATAAATTGACTTTTGGCATTGGCTCCTGCTTCCTTAGGGATAATTTTCATAAGAGTGTTAGAACGTAAACAATATGGAATATGGAACTTTGTTACCGTTTCAGCATTAAGTTAGTCCAAAATAGCTTCATTTTGTGTGACTGGAAAGAAGACAAATGCAAGATATGCTCTCAGGGTTGTAAAAATGTGTGTGCATGTATTTGTGTTTGTGTGTGTGGTTTAAATATGACTAAAAAACCCCCCAAAAAGCAAACAAACAAAAACAAGACTACTTCTGGAGTTCTAAATTCATTGCTGGTTGCATAGATAAAATCTTTCATAGTTTCGTTCCTGGTTCTGAAGTCTTCCCCATCAGGGACCATCCAGTGGTGTGTCCTGACACCTGAGGAGAGGTCAGGGCATATGCTGGGCCCAGTCCCTCCTCCGCTCTCTTCCTGACCTTCACATCTGTGTCTGTGGCATGGGCCCCAATGTGCAATATAGGTTATTCTTTTCCGCACTCTTTTTCTTTTCTTCCTCATCAAATTGAGCTTCAATCTCTGCTGGATTGATGTAAGTATAAAATCGAGCCATGATGGCAAATATTACGCAGACGACCAGAAGCAATGCGGCAAATAGGACGTATTCAGCCCACTTTGAAGGAATTGGAGTTGGAACAAGAAAAAGAAAAGGAATACAGGTCACATTAATGTATATATTGCATGTACATTACGTGCAATTACAACCACCTCTAGGATGGCCTTCACTTCGGGTGTTATGGAAGTTTCTAGATAATGTGTCTGCTTTGGGTCATTAAGCTGCATTCATTGAAGCTAAGAGAGACATTTTGTTTTATAGTAAACCACACAAGGGAATAGGTACATTAACCCAATCTAGTTATTTCGGTTGTCAGTTTCCAACTGTGTGACACCATATGAAAACAAGAAGAATCAGCAGATACTTGCTGTGTCCAGATGGAAGGTACTCTGAAATTAAATTGTGGAAAATTGGTAGATAAACAACACAGATACAGTATGGGTAGCTTTTCTTGAATGCCCCAGAAAGATAGATGTCAATATACATAACATATTCCTTTCTCTCTCTTTTTTTTTTTTTTTTGAGTTGGAGTCTCACTCTGTCGCCCAGGCTGGAGTACAATGGCACTGCACAGTGCCACCTCAGCCTTGATGTGCTAGGCTCAGGTGATCCTTCCGCCTCAGCCTTCCAAGGAGCTGGAACTACAGGCACGTGCCACCACGCCTGGCTAATTTTTTGATTTACTATCAAGACGAGGCCTCGCCAAGTTGTCCAGGCTCGTCTCGAGCCTGTGGGCTCAGGCAGTCCTCTCACCTCAGCCTCCCAAAGTGCTGGGATTATAGGCACGAGTCACCGTGCCTGGCTCTCTCCATCCCCCACTCTGAAGAAACAATAGAGATAACACTTTCCTAACAGCATTGGGCTGCAGAAACAAAAGACTTTGGGAAGATGAGATAACATTTCTGAAGATCCAAGCCTAAGACACATGGCTGGCCCCTGGAAGGACAGGGATCAAGGGAACACCAAGGAATACCCTTGAGGGAGAGAATAATGTGTTGAACTTTAGCAGGTTAAGATCCCCACATTATCCCTTGGAAGTATCTGGAGCTTGTAAGCACGCAGCATAAGCACATCTCATGGAGGCCGAGGTGAGAGGATTGCCTGACCCCACAGGTTCGAGACCAGCCTGGGCAACTTGGCGAGGCCTCGTCTTTACAGTAAATCAAAAAATTAGCCGGGAGTGGTGGCACATGCCTGTAGTTCCAGCTCCTTGAAAGGCTAAGGCGGAAGGATCGCCTGAGCCTAGCACGTCAAGGCTGAGGTGGCATTGTGCAGTGCCATTGCACTCCAGCCTGGGCGACAGAGTGAGACTTCAACTCAAAAAAAAAAAAAAGAGAGAGAGAAAAGAATATGTTATGTATATTGACATCTATCTTTCTGGGGCATTCAAGAAAAGCTACTCATACTGTATCTGATGGGACCCCATGTAGGAAATAATGAAACTGATGGGATAGTAGATAACTCCCTGATGAGGCAGATATGCTACAGCGCTAAAGGAAACAGTTTAAGTTTCAGAAAGCCCTCATTCTATTTTAGCTGGACAAAAATAACAACCACCTCTAGAATGACTTTAACTTCAAGTGTTATGGAAGTGTCTGGATAACGTGTCTGCTTTGAGGCTATTACGTTGCAGTCATTGAAGCTAAGAGAGACATTTCTTTGATAGTAAACCATATAAGGGCGTGTGTATGTTAACCCAATCTGGTTACTTTGGTTGTCCATGTATCCATTTCCAACAGTGTTAATGCCAAATGGAAACAAGAAGAATCAGCCGATATTTTGCCATGAGGTTATCTGGTCACAGCCCTGGGCCATCAGCCCCAGTAGCCACATAGACCAGAGAGATGACTTGGGAGGGCCAACACGGTAGATAAGACCGAGAGAGATATGTGCCATCTCCTTCCCTACTCCGTACCTGTTTGCTGAACTGGCCTGCCCCCGCCACAATGAGCACAATGATGTTGCCCACGGCCACCGTCAGTAGCCATCCGGCCTGAAGCACCGACTTCATGTTGGAAGGAGCCTGAGGAAACAAAGCAGAGGGGATCTCAGTCTACCTCTACCCTCAGAGCAGGAGGACACAACTCACAGACTCATTTCAGCAAGCGGTTTACCCTAAGAATGCCTATGAGAAGGCTGGTTTGCTTCAATAAAGGGATATCACTTGGGTAACAAGACACCCAAACACTCGTGGATCAGCACACACGAATCCCTTGTTTCACTCCCCACATCCTTGCAGAGTTGAGTTAAATGGACAAATCTACAGACGAGCCGATTCTATCTCGACAGGAGAGTTTCCAAAGTTACCTAGCAAGGCATGATCTTCCCTCAAGATGGAGGCTTCTCTCCGGGACACAAGCTCGCCCTCTTGTGGCTTCCCTGTCATTGACCAAAATCGCTTCAAACTCTTGTCACCTGTCTTACAGTTATCTCCTTTATTAGATGAAGAGGTTGTCACAGAGACTGTCCAACGGATCTTGGCCATCTTTACTACACACACGGAAGGGACTAGGCATTGTGGGATGCGGTGACTGTAACTGGAGTTTTGACAAATGTCCAAAATTAAAAGCTCTAATTTAGGTATCGACAAAATTTGCCTCACTAGTCCAGAATACTTAAAAGTAGTCATATTTTAAAGCTTGTTTTAAAGCTTTTCTGGTATGTTTACTAGGCACAACCAAGGGACCTCAACTAAATGATAAAGAGAACACAGACCTGTAATTGAGCACTTTTATGAATAGGTAGTAATATTTGGCTATTTCAGAAAGTAGAATCTACCAACCCTCATAACTCTGTAGCGGCCATGAATAAAGGTTTTGCCACTTGGGACTCTAAATCTCCAGTGTATGACTATGGGAACACAGAAACACATGGATATATGCATACGCAAAGCTGAACAGAGCAATATTCTAATTCAGAAAAGACAAGGTTTAGTGATCTCCAAGACCTCGCTCTGTGGAAGATACCAAAATGCCTTGAATGCTTTGAAATTAAATTGTGGAAAATTGGTAGGCAACCGATACATAGCATGAAAAGCTTTTCTTGAATGCCCAAGATAGATGAACTCCAATATAGACAACATTTTTCTTTCTCTGTTTTTTTCCCCCTTCCTGTACTCTGAAGAAACAATAGAGGTAACATTTTTCTAACAGCACAGGGGTGCATAAAGTATTTACAAATCTGAAACAGAAAACCATCTGTCTTATAACTGAACCATGGAATAATTTATTCTAGGTTACAGCACATGCACTTGAAGTTGAACTATACCTCTTTTTTTGAATGTTCTAAAACTATAAGCATACAGCTATTGCAGGTTCAAGTCCCTCCATCATTTCCTGAAGTCAGGGCTATAGCAGAGGGGTGGTAAAAACAGTGAACTAGAAACCTGAGAATATGAGAACTCCAATCCCGTGACAGAGAAGACCACCTCGCCACAGGTGAGGAGAAAATACTGCGGGATTTGCAGTGCCATGTTAACCGTGTTGGGTGAAATATCTTCAAATTCCTTCACTTCTGGGCAGCCATCAGCCTACACCAGTAAGGCAAAAGTGGGGAAAAGAGATTAAAGTCGAGACAGTTTCTAAAATAAAAACAGTTCAGACAGGCAAGTTGAGTTTGATCTTCAGGGTTACATTACACAGTTTATCAGGAAAGTACACATTTTCAATGTAAATATGCAACACTGCATTTTACATTTGTGGTGGGATGGCCTTGGTGAGATTTGAAAATATGTCCACAAGTATTTTCCTTTTAAATAAAAGAGTAGATTGGAAGTCATTTTAACACATTGCCATCTCTTGGATGTATAAGTTCCCAAAGTCCATGTTCATAGTCTATAAGGAAGCATCAGATATTGGCCACATGAACTTTTAGCCAGAGGAAGTCAGTTTGCTTAGTTTTATTCTAATGGTTAACCAGTCAACAATAAGTTAAAGAATTAGTGATGGACCGAATGAATTCTAGGCCCATTTAAAACACAGATCCTAAATATTTCTCTAGTTAAATCATGATTATTCCCTAAATGTGTGTGAAGCTTCATTTCAATAAAGATCGAGTGGAACTTCTGATACGATGGAATGAGTTACTAACCTTCCTTTTGATTACATAGGTATAAGCACTACCAAATCCAAGGTAGAAAGTTTTGAAATCACGCGGACAATGTGGTAAAATCCCTGTTGAGTTTATTGTGAAGCTTTTTCTATTGAAAGAAAGAATAATACAGGTTAATATTCATAGTATTAAAACCACCGGTGTATTTTTTTTTTAAGAAAAAAACTTGAAATCATTGAACTTTGAAGCAAAGTGTTCAGTTCAGGTACTCACATGCCAAAGGTAAAAAACTGATAATTGCTGGCACTGTAACTGGTGACATTGTCATAAACTTTCCCACTCATTGTGATGCTGATGGTCTCATCAAACGTATTTACAAATCTGAAACAGAAAACCATCTGTCTTGTAACTGAACTATAGGAATAATTTATTCTAGGTCACCGTATATACACCTAGCTTGGACTAGGCTCCTTTATTTAAAATCTTTAGAAGAGTTTTCTAGAGAATAAATGCAGAAAGGGAGCAACCCTAGGCTTGCCTTTGCTCACCCACTCACGAGAACACACTTAAAATAATTTATTTGGCAGTCTTTAGACATGCCAGGCACAGTTCTAAGTACTTTGTAAAAAATACCTCGGCTCAAAAAAATTCCCCAGCTCAATGATATCTTGGGATATTAAGCAGAGACTAAATCAGGTACCAACCCCTTTCCTTCGAGGGAAGACAGCCATGTCTTTGAGTGCCTTGCTTAGAAGTTCTAGAAGCTTTAGAACTCGAATGAAGGACAGAACCAGATATTTCCTGTCCCTAAAAGACAGGGAAGAGAAGCCCCATTTTCTACTTAAAAGAAGCCTGAGGCAGGAAAGGCTCCCAGGAGTGGAGAGGAAGAAGCAGACCGACCCATTACTAAAGGGGCAGTCTTAAGGAATCCCCCTCAGATAGAAGAAGCCTCTGCAGTCCTGGAGTGACGGTGACCAGCATCCTCCTGGAACACAGCTAGGAATGGAGCAGCCACTAAGACGGGCTTCTAGGCCCCAAGGCTTCCTGTCTCTGGGAGTCCCATGTGCCTCAGGTTCACAGGGAAGCAGGTGAGTTGTCTGCTTCATAGGACCATACAGTGGTGAACATCTTGGACAGGTGATGACAGACCCCTTCCGTAGATGATCCGGCTCTAGGACATCCCAAAACTCTTGTGTGACATTAGGGACCTGGAGGGTTCTGCCCAAAATAAGGCCAGTGGAGTCTTTCCTACCAAACAGGTGGGTGAAGGCTGATAGTGGATTACCCGGTTTAGAGAATAAGGAATCATAATAGTGTACACCTGAGTACGTCAAGAACAATTTAACCTTTAGGTCCCTAAACTATGTGGCCAGATTGCGTCAGCTTTGTGAGGAACAAGTCATATTGGTTAAAGGCTAGGGATTAGGAGAACATTTCTATGAATTAAACTCAGGTCCTGAAGTCCAGAGGCTTTTTGGACTTGGTGTCATTTGATAGGTAATTAATATAGAAAATGGAACCTGACACAGGTTAACACGTGCTTTGGATAGAATTACTACTGCTCCAAGCTCTAAACATTGCTTTTAGCAAAGATTAAGATCATCCAATCAAAAGAGAGATTAGAAAGCAGGCCTTTGGGCCTGGGGCCTGGCTTTCTAACCTACAAGCCCTGAGACTTTGGATGAAATCCACCCCAAAGACTAGAGGACTATTATCAGCCCGACATATGTCTCAGGGTTGGTGCAATAAGAAACAAAAATACAGTCATGCGTCACTTCACAACGGGGACACATTCTGAGAAATGCGTTAGGTGATTTTGTCATTGTGCGATCACCACGGAGTGTACTTACACACGCCTAGATGGTCTAGTCTACCACACGCCAGGCTTTACGGAAGAGGCTATTGCTTTTAGGCTACAAGCTTGGACAGTAGGTGACTGTGCTGAATACTGTAGGGAGTTGTGACACCATGGTACGTGTTTGTGTATCTAAACATTCAATACTCCCACTCTTTCCTCCCCTCAACTTCTGGCAACCACTGACAAGCTTTCTGTGTCTACTGACTTGCTTTCCGTGCCAATGGAATCATACAATACTGGTCTTTGTGACCAGCCTTTTAGCATATTGTTTGTAATGCTCATTCGTATTGAAATGTGTATCAGTACGTCGTCCCTTCTTATGACAGAATGACATTCCATTGTATGGATATAACATTTTATTTATCAGTTGGTGGGCATTTGAGTTGTTTGCACATTTTGTCTCCTGTGAATAGTACCGCTATGAACATTTGTGTGCAAGTTTTTGTGTGAATATATGTTTTCATCTCTTTTGGGTGCTAACCTACATGCCCCCTCTGGCAGGCTTCCAAATTAACCACCTGGGGAAGATCTTATGATGCATGGTTTACATCTTGTTGCTGAGTAAAGAAACTGTTGATGTGCTGATTAATACGGAACCCACTAACACTGATTTGTTTCTGAACCATGAAGTTTTACTGATTGTCTTGTGCTGTAACATTTTAGCTGGTAGGTAGTCATCTGTAGCCAGTAATTGTAACCTCTGTATTGTATCTTCCAATGAAAAGGGACAACTTCAAGGTAAAGTCCCTCTCCTTTTTCCTAAACTTTCTCTAAAAACATTCCAGGCCAGGCAAAGAGGCCCATGCCTGTAACCCTAGCTACTTGGTAGGCTGAGATGGAAGGATCACTTGAACCCAGGAATTTGAGCTACAGTGAGCTATGATTGCACCATGGCACTCCAGCCTGAGTAACAGAACAAGACTCTGTCTCTAAAAAAAAGAAAGAAAAAGAAAAAGACATTCTAACTTGTAGTAAACTTTGGTGTGTCTCCCAATAAATCTTTTATCTGCCTTAATTTCAGTCAATGTGGGTACATACTAGGAGTGAAACGGCTGAATTACATGGTAAAACTCTGTGTTTAATATTTTGAGGAACTGTTTTTCAAAGTGGCTATACCATTTTACATTTCTACCAGCAGTGAATGAGGGTTCTACTTATTCACATCCTCGACAACATTTGCTATTGTCTATCTTTTTGATCAGAACCTAGCAGGCATGCAGTGGTATTTCTTTCTTTTTTTTTTTTTTGAGTTGGAGTCTCACTCTGTCACCTAGACTGGAGTGCAGTGGCCGCTTCCAGCCACCGCAGCCTCGACCTGCTGGGCTCCAGTGATCCTTCCGCCT